GCCCCGCCTCGGCGCGCCGGTGCACGGCGTTGTGCGCGCTCAAGCTGTCCAGGTTTGTAAACAGGTTCCCGCACTTGGTGCAGACCTCGTAGAGGGACAGGCCCGTGACGATGGTCTCCTCCTGCACCACGTTGTTGATGGTAGCGATGGGGTCCAGCTCGCTGCGCAGCCGGTTCTTGCCGGCCGCCTTGGGGCCGTGCGCCTTCATGTGGTTCTTGAGGAACCAGGGCTCCTTGAAGCGGCGGCCGCAGATGTGGCAGCCGTGGTCGAAGGAGCCGCGGTGCTTCTTCATGTGCGCCTTCAGGAACCAGGTCTGGCTGAAGGCCTGGCCGCACACCTCGCACGGGAACTCCCCGGCCGGCAGCTCGCTCCGGCCGTTCTCCACCGCCGCCTCGGCGCCGCCGCCGTTGGGCGCCTGCGCGGTGACGTGCTCCTTCTCGATGTGGCCCAGCAGCGCCTCCTCGCGCAGCGTCACGTAGCTGCAGAGCCGGCACTTGAAGGGCCTGTGGGCCTGCTGCACGTGCTGCTCCAGGGCCCGCTTGCGCTCGAAGACGCTCTTGCAGAAGGGGCACCGCCAGGCTGCCGCGCAGGCGCCCTGGGCGCCACCCGCCGCGTCCGCCTCCTTGCGGCTGCCCCGCAGCAGGATCTTGCCGCCGTCGCCCGGCGAGGCCCCGTTGAGGACCTTGTTGCAGGCCGAGGTGCTCTTGGTGGGGCTGGCGCAGCCGTCCAGGCCCTCGGCCACGCGCAGCTCGCCCAGCGGGGCCTCGCCGGCCTCCGGCTCGTGCCCTGGCCCCAGGGTCCCGGTGCGATGGCTCCGGATGTGGAGCTTGAGGTTGCCCTTCTGGGAGGCCCTGTGGTCGCAGTAGGGGCACTGGTAGGGCTTCTCGCCGGTGTGCTTGCGCATGTGCTGGGACAGAGAGCTCTGGAACGGGAAGGTCTTGCCGCAGATGCAGCAGCTGTGGCACACGGTCTTGTCCCCGTCCAGCTCGAGGCCGCGCCCCGGCTCCATCTCCGCGTCTCTGTGCCGATCCATGGTGGCGGCTAGGAAGTCATGAGCTGGCGCCCGACCCGCAGGGCTGTCCTCCGACGGCGGGGGCTGCCTCAGGCGCTCCTGCAGGGCCCGGCCTCTCTCTCCATTTGCGGAGCAGGATTTGCTCGCCAGCTGCCAGAGGGATGCCCGCCGTGGCTGCGTTCCAGCATGTTCTAAGCGGAGAGCATGGCCGATGGTGGGGCACGCCTGGAAGACAAGACAGAAGAGTCGGATGAGCCAAGTTTCCACATAAACAAGGACAGGGTGCCACCGAGACCCGGGGCACGGCCCTGGCCTCTCAAGCCTGCCCCATCTCCGAGAAGTGACCTTCTGACCCACGCTGGGCCGGGGCACAGCTCCCAGGCCGCGTGCTGAGAGCAGCCAGACAGACACAGGAGGACCTACTGCACGATCCCACATCTGTGGACAATGTGCCAGGGTTAGCTGTGTGCCAGCTCCGTCCCCACTGATGGAGCCACTGGGTGGGAACCGCGCCTCCAGCTAACCTGGCCCCCTGCTATTCCATACACGCTCGGATGGAACCGGTCAGTCAGCCGAGGTGGGAGATTCCTCTCCAGACCCTAAGGAAGATATTCTGGCAGACTCCCTCTCCCTTCCCATCACCTGAGGAGGGCGCATGGACCTGCCAACCCCCCCCCCCAGCTGCCTGAGCCATTTCCTTACAGCCACTCACTGTATCAACCATCTCCTGCCTGTCCCAGAGAAGGCTGAGATAGTCCGCAATGGGCAAGGACAAAGGAGGTAGGCAGGGAGCCACCCGGGGCTGCGAGGGGGGCAGGGGGACTTAGTGCTGGGGTCCTGGATGTCCCTTCAGACTGAGGGTAAAGCTTTGCAGTGGAGGCCCCAGGAAGGTGGGTGCACAGCACAGCCAACGTGAGCAACAGGGCTCTACTGCTCCCCGAAAAGTGGTCCCAGAGGAAGTTTTACGACCTTTCAGAACAGATTTAAACGTGTATCTAGATACGCATGTATGCCCATGTGTGGATATGCGTATATATGTGGGGAGCTCTGGTGGCGCAGTGCCTAAGGCATTTGACTACTAACCAGAAGGTTGGCAGTTCAAATCCACCAGCTGCTCTTCAGAAGGAAGATGAGGCAATCTACTTCCATAAAGATCTGCTGTCTTGGAAACCCAATGGGGTCGCTATGAGTTGGAATCCACTTGATGGCAGTGGGTTTGGCTTGGGCTTTGTTTCCACGAAGACTGACAGCCTTGGAAACCCTGTGGGGTAGTTCCACTCTGTTCTCTAGGGGTGCCGTGGGTCAGAATAAACTCCACTGCAGTGGGTTTAGATATATGTCCATGGATATATATGGAGCTCTGGTGGCATAGTGCCTAAGGCATTTGAGTGCTAACCAGAAGGCTGGCAGTTCAAACCCACTGGCCACTCCTCGGAAAGAAGACTGGGCAAGCTACTTCTGTAGACATACCGCCTCGGAAACCCAAGGAGGGGTTACTATGAGTCAAATCCACTGGACGGTGGTGACTTTGGTGTATGTCTATATAAAACTCTAACACTAAGAAAAGTGAGATGAACAAAACTGGAACTAAATGGACAAGTAGCTGTTATTTTTTTTTAATTATTGATAATTAATCACTCTCATGCTAACTAAGTAACTGTAAATAACTGCGTACTAAGATAATTTTTCACGCAGAAAGCCCATTAGGGAAACACAGTGGGGTACACTGTGTCAGAGCGTGAACACGCACTCCGTGTAGGCCAGGAAACAGGGGTGGACGTGGGAAAAGGGGCCAGGAGGAGGCAGAGGAGGCAGAGGCGTGGGAGAGAAAGCCACGCTAAGCAGAGGCAGGGCTCAGCTCCGGGTCTGAGCAGACAGCGCTGCAAAGTGTTCCCAGGGCTCAAGGCAGCGCCGGACAGCCCGTGTCTAGAGGGGAAGGGCGGGGTCTTCCGCGAGAACACAGGCGGTGCAAAGAAGGGGCCGGAGGCCACGGAAGCCGGCCCTGCTCAGCCACGTCACTACAAACTCCCGCCCGCTGCCTCGCCCAGGTACGAGTGACCCTGGGACGCGTGGAGACACACGCCTGCCCAGTCTCAGCCCAGAAAGCCCAGACCGCCTGCCAGCCTACAACTCCCGTCTGGTCCCAGTTGCTCCCAGGGACATGCTAAGCTCCAGCCTACACTCAGGCCTACGCTAACGCAGCTGCTGCGGCACGTGAGCCCTCAGCTTCCCCGACGTTATATGTGGAGTAACACACACCCATGGGTCTTCTCACCCAGTATTACGTGTGAACTAGCATTGGCACAAGTCCCCTCCCCCACATCACATGTGAACTAACATAGGCACGAGTCCCCTCCCCCACATCACATGTGAACTAACATTGGCATGAGTCCCCTCCCCC